GATAATTAGTTTCCATTTTTCTACTTTTTGCTACAAATTAGCTACTTTTAAAAACTACCGTTAAGAGTTTTTAACTACAGTTTTGCTAATGTTAGCAACGGTTACTTGAAACATCTGTTTTCATCATTTTAGTTACTGTGCTGCTAGCTTTTAGCTACTATTTTGCAACATTTTTCAATAGCTTTTTGTCTTGCATATTTTTTTAACATTAGCATCTGTTGCTACTTTCAGCTTTAATTTACTGCTTTGCTGATCTTAGCTTTTAGCTACCATTTTTGCTGAATAGGCTTTAGCTGTTTTTCTGAGTTTAGCTTTCAGCCTCTGAATCTAATTTCAGCAACTATTTTTCTAAATTTAGCTTTTGTATCCATTTTAACTACAGTTTTGCTTATTTAAGCATCTGTTTTGTTTATATTGTATGTTACTGTGGAAATATTTTAGTTGGTTGTAAAGTATATTTTACCTGAAACAATAGAGATACTTACAAAAGTGGGAAAAAACCAGCAACGCAGCAAAAGTCTGCCAAAATGATCCCGCTGATCCCATATCTGTCAGTCAAACGACCTGCAGCATGTTCAGTCTGTTGGAGAAAAAGAAGAAACAATTGTCAGATTCATGACTTCGCTGTCTGCACACGAGCCGACATCCATCTGCAGCAGCTAAAAGGACTAACCGAGCTGTCACTTCTGTCATCATTCTACAGGAAGGGAGAAAAGGAGCGTTCACATTTTTATACACTTTTCCAATAACTGGAATTCATCCCATGTCATTACACAAATGGGCCAAGCAGTCCCTTGCAGCCAGAAAAACCTGGTCTCAGTTTCTTTTTTTTTTTTCCTTCGGAAAAAAATTGTCATAAACGTCAAATAAATCTTGGGAGTCGCATGCAGACTTGCGTCTAAGTGTTTTATTTAAAGGCACATCAGAGAGGAGATGTGGCCGGGAACGGTCAAGGACAAGGACCAGCCGAGAGGACGGGACCGCTTCAGGGAGACGGAGGMGGTTGTACAATAGAGAAGCTGATACAGTGTATTGGTCTGTTAGCAAAATATTTCATGAACCAGATATCGTTGGATGTGTACAATCATTGTCAAGGTGGCCACCAAGCTAACCAACATTAGCCAAAACAAAAGTGGTTGTTAGTCAGTGAACGAATCATTATATTATTATGTTCCCTACACCTCTGCAGCAGAGCAAGCAGATAATTAATTAATAATGCAGCCGATGAAAAGAGACTCAAGCAAATTGAAACAATCAATGCTCTTAAGTCTTCATTGTTTTACTTTCCTTAAACAGGATTAACTGATCAGATTGTTTCAGAGTAAAACTGAGTCAGCTGCAGACAAAAAACGCAGGGTTTGAGTTTTCAAAGAAAGCAGCTTTCCAGAAAAACMGTGGATTTCTGACAGCAAGATAATGCAAATACTTTCACACTGTTTGCATTTGTTGTTGTTGCAGCTGATCTCCACTCAGCAGCAAAATGAGCAGAATGAATGAGGTGCCGAGCAGAAACAATSGCTCTTCTTTTCTTTCCTGTTTTTAAAGAGACAATGCAATAAATCAACATTATTTCAAATGTTAGGAGTGATGTTTACCCACTGCCTGTTAACTTGATGCAAATTACGTGTTAAATTAAAAAAAATAACAACTTTAGCAACATATACTCGAGTGTGGAAGAAATGTAGCTTTAATTGAACATAACCAAAACAAAACAAAAAACCCCTCAAATGTTTCTAGATGTTGTTTGGATATTTGTAATTATTGTGTTGAATCAACCAGGGTCGGAGCTAGGCTGTTTTTCCAAATGATAGCAAAGGTGTTGTTTTGGGTGGGGGGGGCTCCAACCCCCCTAAAATAGGCCTAGTGACGCCCCTGCCACCGATGTTACTGTTGCTCATCTTCTACCCGTCAATATTGCTGTTATTTATCTGCTATCTACTTACAGCGGGTAAAATAAGTATTGCACACGTCACCATTTTCTCAGTAAATATATT